TTTTAAATTATTTCCATAGTTTTGGCGATTTAATTTTTGGAAACGTAGAACCGTTTGGAAACGTAGAATTTTCGGAAACGGCTCTAAATTCTACTTCTGACTCAGTGACAAAAAAGGCAGACGTTGATTAAAACGTTTTTAAATCACACGTAAGTCGCGGAAGTTTGCATAAGTTAGGGAATGGCTGAATTATGGTGTAATGGGCTCGATTACACAAAAAGTATCGTGGATGGGGGGATCGTTTTTATCAAAATTTTTAAATGTAAAATAAAGGTATTGGAGAATAACAACTGTATAATATTGCTATGTTCCAGACACCAAAAACTTGAATAGCCTTTTAGAAAGAGCCTTTTAACTGTCGTTTGACTTTCAAATTAGCAAATTTTTCGTTACTATGAGAACTTGAAAATTTTTTCATGCAAATATAAATATGTCACCAGGCCTGATACAATAAAATTTTTACACAACCACTTGTTTGCACTAAATCATTCTAACAATAAAGTGTACATATATACATGTATGACTCGACAGACATTCTTGACACTATTGTCACAAACGATCAAAGTGGTTATTCATTGTTGTACTGTAGTATAGCTTCCTTGGTTTGGTGTAATATTCGAAAATTTTTGTATTGTATACTATCATAGCAAGTTATTATTACTCAGTGGATGAAGGGAGCAACTGTACTCTTGACAATTTTCCTTTGGAAAATAACAGTAATGTGGAATCGTTGTCAGACTCAGGGGCCTCAAACTTTGATAATTTTGACAACTTGACTTAAGGTTTGTATTTCAAAAACAGGTTTTGTAATAATGTATGTGTTAGAAAACTATTCTTCAATAAGGTTAACTAATAAACTACGCATACAAGAATAGAAATGATTATAATTTGCTAGCCATAACGCTCTTTGGCGAGGCAAATTTTCTCCACAAAACCCCCCAATTACTTCAAGTCTATTTGCACCCCTGTTTGGAGAGTCAACTTTCCCTCATTTACAACGACAAGGACTTTCACAAAGAGTGCAGTAATGAGGTGCTTATATACATCTAGAAATTTATTCTCCAGTCTAGTTTACGTCAAATGGCAAATTTCTTAAAATTAAATGTTTTCTTGGCAGTGGCAAACGCTTCAGTAGAGAGGTCGTTTTCTGGCTTGAAAAGGGTAAAAACCTATTTGAGGAATAGAATGGGTAAAGATCGGCTTAGCTCTTTGTGTAGAATATCTATTAACAAAGACATCGTTGAACAAAAAAAGGAATCAGAGATGTTGCATAATGAGGTTTTTAAAAAATCTGTAGAAAAACCCATGTAGCTGGCCTATCTTTATAAATGATGGGTATAGTATGTGTTTTGATGTTTGTTCTTATAATGCATGGTACCTCACTAAGAAAATTAAGCATTACTTCAAGGAATAAAGCCATCCCTGTCTACCTGCTCCAATATATAAACAAGTGTAAGCTAACTAGTGAAATGCTAAGGATAATCTCTCCTTATTGTAGCGAGAGACTTGCCGAGCGGAAATCGAATACGTGTGATAAAAATTAATGCCCAACATAAAGTTCTGATTAGAGCCATAGAAATAGACCAAAGAAAATTTAAATTTAAAATTGAAATTTAAATTTAAATTTAAATTTTACAATTTGTTTTTTCTTTGGTCTATTTCTATGGCTCTAATCAGAACTTTATGTTGGGCATTAATTTTTATCACACGTAATCTCTCCTTATGCATTTTAGGAAGAATCGTTTACTATGTTATTTTTGCGCTAATCCAAATTTCTTCTGTTTATTTAGGAGCAGTGATGTGTTTGATTTATTATGCTTCAGGGGACAATTGCTCCTGCGTAACGTATCCCTGAGACATCCGTAGTACCTTTTTAACTAGTTGCAGTATTAACAATTGCCACATTAAGAATGCAGCTAGTAAAAACGTGTTTTTATAACTTATTGTACAACAAATAATTAGCCCTTCAAATCGCAGGAAATGCTGTTTCCAAGCTCTGGATTTCAAAATTTTCCGGGGGAGCATGCCCACCAATAATTTTGTTAGTCAATCCGCATTCTTTGATGAACAATATGCTGTATTTTATTTAATTATCATTCGTTAATTACACAATATGGAACGTCTGTCTGAAGTCACAAAAATTCATTTTTATGTCAGAGATAAATTTCTAGATCTTTGTATATTTGACTTTATATGAATATGATTAAAAACGAGATGCGAGGGTGTTTTGCATAATATTTTTATTTTCTCATGCAACAAAGTACAAGTAAATTATTATGCAAACAATCAAAACTGAGCAATGCTGATTCAGGAACTTCGTATTTTGCGTGATAACTAACTTATTTGAAAAAATAGAAGCAAAATCTAGATTGTTTAATGATGAAGAAAGTCATCATAGACAAATAGAAATATTTTTCGCGATCTAGCTCATCAAAAAAATGTTTAATATATTACCATATTGAATGCGAAGGCCTAGATGGCGATGAGATAGACGACAAAAAATATCGGTATATTTATCTTCTACTTGCTTTAGTTATAGTTTTTCATCATATGGACGGGCTGTCTATCAAGTTTAGGCTTAGATGACAGACAGGTGATGAGCAATTCTACTTTACTGCTTGTGCTTATACAATTATTATATATTTATTTAATTAATAATACACAGACATTAGTTAAACTTTATTTTGTCTAAAGTAGAGAGGCGATGTTTGCACTCAATTTTTAGCATGTTTTCAGGTAATGCACTATTTCTCTCTAATAAAGACTTCATTTCTTAAAAAGTGAATGTTATCAGAATGATGACTCTGCCTGCACGAGAGTAAACTTAGTATGCAACCAGTAATAGAAGGAGTAGCAGACAGAAGCTTCTTGTCAATCTTTTTGCAACAGGAAACGTGCGTACAGTCTGTAGATTGATTAAAAAAATCAATTACTACCGTAGGTGGAACAGGCATTTTTCAGCAGAATTTTCCCTTTCATTTATATGTGGCACAATATTGACTGTATGGATGAAATACAAGTTGACATGATGTATTCATTACGAAACAATAACTGTAGAAATAATTTTATTCTTTCGAGACTAATTATAATTTTTCTCGTGTTGCTGTCATTTTATGAAAGACAAAACACCTTCAGTCGTTCAGTCCGGCTACCCGAGAAATGTGTATGGTTGTGATTTTTTATTAATGGTATTATGATAGTTGTCAAAAGCACAACAAATTCACAGCAATGCAATCTCAAACGTGGATCTATGTTCTGTAAATAAATCAAATACGTGTCATTAGTGACACACACGCGTAAAAACATTCAAAAAGATCTTGATTTGTTGAAGGAATTCATGTTAGTAACGCGTGATTTATGCGACAGTATAAAGAAAAATCAGAATTTAAAACTCGGGCTTATGACAAAAAAATCTATTGAGCTATATTCATGGGGTGTATGGCGAATATGACTACTTAAAGCACTTAAAGTAAGCCCAAGTTTGAAATTTGGATTTTTCTGTTGTATCACGAGATTACATAAATCACGCGTGTCTGCCACTAATGCCTGTGTTCTAAAAGCTCACTCACACTTAACGAGTGCAACATATCATTAGCAAAATATTTCATCCATGTATGGCAAGATTTTCTTCTAGATATTTCAAATGAAGCAATCACTTGAGTGAAAGTGCTGTCTTCTAATAATTATGATATAATTTTGAAGCCCCACTCATTAAGTGTGAGTTTGCATGAGCTTTTACATACGGGCGTCAGTCCTTGAACCAACCAAAATCTTTCTTGCATCGTTTCACACGTTAGCGTCACAAATGACACGTATAATGAAGTATGATTTTACCTTCAATAATATTCTGCCACATGTGAGATGATAATGCTGGGAATTTTGTTGTGCTATTTGGCAAATATTATAACACGCAAATATAACAAAATACTGTTCTCGACCAGCCCGAGTGAACGCCTGATAGGCTTTTTGTGTTGAGTGAACTGAAACATCCATCGATCAAGATCAAACTCAATATTATCTTTCTATATCAATCTCTAACTGATAAAGAACCACAAAAATTTAAGGAAAATTTTAAACCCAGACACCTTTCGTTCGCACGCAAACATTCCACGGTTGTAGGAAGTCAAATAGAATGGATATCGTATAGTGGAAAAAACGCCAAATTTACGTCTACTTGCAAAACTACAGACTATATGCTTGTAATATATGCTTGTATTTAAAACCTCGTGTATATAATTTATCTCATATAATCTGAAGATGTCTTAAGTTAAAGACGAAACGTTATTAATAAAAAACCTTTTATCTTTGTTTATTTTACTATTGTGATGGCTTTTTTAAGAGTCGTATATTGGGCTATTATGTTCATATTCGCTTTCCTCCTGGAAAATCTCTGGCCACGATTTTAAATAAGCAATAGCGTCATGTAAAGTTTACTGGTTTGTAGTTTATAAGCGTATGCCTTTAAAACAAAACACAACCAACTCAGTTTTAAGCAATTCATCTAAACAACGCATAACTTGACGTTGAATTGGTTATAAATATGATAACTATTATGTATATCGTTCTTGCATGCGCTCATTCTGGAGGAGTTGCTTATATCATTTACACAGTTATGGCACAGCTTTTGGAAGAGAGCCATTCTTCAGGTACATAATTAGATAAAGAAGAATTTTTAATAATATAGATTAAAACAACCACAGACTATATATTATAGACAAGAAAACATTTATATCATAATAAAGCTTAGAGCACTCTATAGGACTACTCATCAAATGAAGAAGTGTTTTGATGCCTTGACTTTAAGTATAGAAGCGACTTAGTTAGAAAAATAATAAATAACTTAATTTTAGAATGTTTTGAATTCATGCTAAATAATGCACCGTTTTTCATTAGATTCCCAAATAAAGACTTTCTTTTTCTTAAAAAAGAAAGTTGTCAGCATGACACTTTTAACCCCAGGAGAGTAAATTTAATAAGAAAACAGCAAAGAAAGAATAACAAATACAAGCTTCTTGTCAAGCTCTTTGCAACAAGGAAGTCTGTAGAAGTCTGTGGATTGATTAATGAAATCAATTTATATTGCAGGTTGAACAGGTATTTGTGTGCAGGATTGCTTTTTCATTTCTATAATACGCAGTAAAGATTCCTTGGATGAAATACCACGTTACTTATTGACTTATTGACCTGATTTATTTATTGCGAAATAATTACTGTAGAAACACTTTTCAATTCTGAAGCTTTCAAGACCAACTTGAAAGATTATGTAACATATCTATCGAAATTAAATAAACTTCATAAAGCATCTTCTCTGGATCTATTCCTACGATTATTTTCCTGCCATAAATAGCATTAACTTGTGTGTATCAGTAAAAATTAGGGATTATAACTATAGTCATCTCATAGCTAATCTTTCCAAAGTAATTACGTAGACGTACACGCTCATGACAGGATCTTTCTATTTCTACATCAAACGCCAACTGATAAAGAAAACATAATAGAATGAAGCAAAATTTCAAACCCAGCAATTTCTCGTTTATACCCAAACATTCCACAATAAGAAAGTCAAATAGAATATAAATTGTACAGTTGTAAAATACGCCAAATTTACGTCTGTTTGTAAAACTAAAATTTGTACATTATAACATGAATATAAGTGTCACGTAAAGATAACTGGTCTGATGTGTGTAGCATGCCTATAAAACAAAAAATAACCAATTCAGTTATAAGCAATTCATCTAAACAATGCATAACTTGCGTTTAGTAAAGCTATCAATTAAACATAAAAACTATGAAAGATGCTGCTTTTGTCTACTAAGTAATTGTACGATATTTTTCTCTTTTAGCTTGGTGTATCACTATTTCTGGAGGAGATTTTTATATCAAATATAGAGTTATGGCAGAGGACATGGAAGTGTGTCATACTACAGGTAAGTAGAAATTTTCCTTAGAGAATAAAACATTCAAAATTTCTTCTACAAAATGGTTTATGTTTGAAGATGTTGGTATTATTATCACTGGAGGAGCCTATAAATGGTATGGCCATGGTATATTAAACAGGGATGAGTATATCAACACAATAAAAGAGGCAGCCAAAGCAGGTTATCGTATATTGAAGGTATATGTAGTAAATATAGTGTGAGGGATCAAAAAATCTTTCGAAAAATTTTTCCAGTTCTTAACAGCAATAAATTGTATTGATTCACCGCAATCTTTTGTGTTATCTAAGAATGGTGGCACTGCTGTTGAAGCTGTTGAAAAGTCTGTTAGTATTTTAGAGGATTGTGAGTTATTCAACGCAGGTCGTGGATCGATATTGACCGCCAAAGGGGAAGTTGAATGTGATGCTATGATTATGAAAGGACACAACTTAGAAACAGGTTAAAATTAATGATGGTTAATAAGACAATGTATTATAAGAAAGCAAAAACTTTATATCATAATAAAGCTTGGTACTCTATTTAAGACTATTCATCAAATGAGAAAATTCGTTCATATTTTTTCTATGTATTGTAGGTGCAGTAATCTCGGGTCAACATTTCAAAAATCCAATTATGCTTTCACGAAAAATTATGGAAGAATCACCACATTGTGCACTTAGTAGTGATGGTGCGTTGGATTTTGCTAAGAGGATTAATTTTCCATATTGTGAACCCAAGGAATTAATAACAAAAGAGCAGTATGACAATTGGAAGCTTCAAGATGACGAAGAACATTTTACTGATAGCGATACTGCATGTGCTGTTGCAATTGACAAAAATGGCAACTTGGCATGTGCCTTATCAACAGGTAATGAATAACTAAGACATGTCGTATGTTTAATTATGTGCATAATCATAGGAAGATCAATGACGGGGGGGGGGCATATTTTTAAATACATGTTGTGCATTGCTAAGATCCTTTAAAATCCATTATTCTGTACAAAATATAACATGCTTAAATGAATATGAGAGTCCCCTCCACCAATTTTGAATTTTCTTATTTTTATGCATATGCTCAGTGATTAATTAACGAGAAATAAAACACAAATTCAACAACATCACAGTTATTATATACATAATCATAGGAGGTATAGGCGGGAAATACAAAGGTCGTGTTGGTGATGCTGCATTAGTTGGTTGTGGTGGATATGCAAATAAAAAAGGAGCAGCTGTAACATTTGGTCGTGGAGAGAAGTTGATAAAATTAACTCTAGCACGTCAAGTTGTCTTTGAAATGGAAAATGGAAAAAGTGCACAGGTATGGTGAAATAAATCATTTATTTCTTTGTTCGATAGTCATTGCTTTACTTTACGCGATAGCTTTAACGTATTACACAGTAAATTTCTTTAGAGTAATGATGTTAATAAAAATCGTGTGATTAATATTTGGAGCTGTGCAAACTAGTTCTTTTGAGTTGTGTGTTTGTCAATTATTGTTCAAAAATTATTAATGAATTGGAAAGTTCTAGCCACCTAGATATACTAAACAATTCAACCCACAAAAAATTGAAGATTTTTGCAAAGCCGTCTAGTACAATCAAGAATTTGGGGGAAGGCCATATAATCATATTCATATAAGGATGTTATACTCCCTAGAAACACTTTGGATTACTTATTTCCGCTAAGATTTACCGAAATTGACCGCTTTGCAGAAAATTTTACAATTTCGCACTTCCCCTTCAAGAAAGAGCGAAGAGAAAGTATATAAGTATTAGTCATATTTGGCAAGTATTTTATAATGAAATTCTCGATAAAAACATAAAATTCTTAAAAGTGAGTTTACTGAGATTGCAAGTTTTCGGCTTCATTGATTGAAGCCTTTGATAACTATCAAAAAACGAGGTACTTGTTGTCTACATATTAATGCCGATGTGCGTCGTAACTGTCGTCGAATGTTTGCTCTAACAAAGTTTGTAGTCTACACAAAACAAAAGTATATCATAGTTTATCTTTGCGGTTAACGAGAGAAATGTTAGCTCTTTCATTCTCATTATTTTTTGCTTCCTTTCATGTAATGGCCTTTTTTTGCAATTGCCGTAAGATTTCTACTGGTACAATCATGTGTAGCCTTTTATAAATGAATAATGAAAAAAATATAGTGTACAAATTCAAAGAATCTCTGAGATTTCATGGTCTTCTGAAATAGAACTATATGTAATACTTGTAAAATTTTAGCACATTTGATTTTGTTGTATTGATTTGTGAAATAGGCAAAAATGCTAATAATTACTCATACACTTGAATTACAATAGTGTTTGCAACTTAAGGCTATGAATACACAATTATGTTTTTATTACTTCACTGAATAATAATTTAGTGAGTCATCTTTTTCTGTTTTTTATTTGCTATTAGCAATGTAAGTGCAGAATTTGGTTGACTAGTACATCTTTCACCTTAATAACAAATATCACACCTATATTTTGTACCAGTTGCTATTAGATTTTTTCCATTTGAGTATGCAACATCATGAAGTGCATGTGCACATGTAATTATAAGGGAATAAAACCAAATGAGTTAAACATTTTGTGTATTATATACTAGAAGCTTAACAACTTTTTAGAAATTAAAAAATTATTAAATTGTATTACCTGTATCTCATTCATATTATGAAAAAAATTAAGAAGTAAAAAATTGAAGAAAAACTTGGAAAATTTTCCTTGTTTAAAAAGCAGAAAATAAGTTAAATGACAAATGACCATTCTGTTCTCTAATTCGTCATATTTTTTAATGCTCAAACGCAATGCAGATCGTTTTAATTTGTTTTCGCATACATCCAGATTGACCGAAGTTTTTTTAATTTTTCGCCTAAATTCAGCCAATCTGCACTTCGTTTGAGTATTCAAAAATATGACAAATCACAAGGTGAGTGTCTCTAGCATAGGTTTTTATAAAGTATTTGCTACAAACGCTAAAACATTCGCGCTTTTCATATGCATATAAACACATCTTAATCTTTAAAAACAGCAAAAATATCGTAAAATTATTTGTTATTTATTAGATGTATTTGTTTTTCGTGTTTTTCCATGTATTTATAAGATATCTACGGTGAAAGTGTTTGTTTTAGCGGTCGGTAATTTTCTCTTGAGAGTTGCCTACCTTATTAAATTATAAGAAATATAAGACCATACGAACCTGGAACTCGCACGAGATAGTGCAGACGATAAACATTGCACAGAAATCAAGGAATATATTCACTGTATTTAAATCGTTTGCATATAAAGCCTGAACAAAACAGATTTCTTTGCCACCTATTTGTGCGTGATTGTTCAGTTACTCAATTGAATAATTTTTTCAATTCTGCCTTGACCAATTTCCGAATAGAGTTTTTTGCCAAACTTTGTATTTGTTTATTAAAGGAAGCGACAGACAAAGCCATAACGTTACTGAGAGATGAACAAGAAGGATTAGGAGGAGCCGTCGCGATTGACAAAAATGGAAATTTTGGAAAAGCATTTTCTACTAACCTCATGTCTTGGGTTGACATCCAAGATAATAGGTTGATGGGTGAATTTAATAAAAATGATGGCGAAGAAAATTTGGAGATTGACGAAAGAATTTGAATTGTTGAACAACAACGGCCATTTTTTATGATTTAGAAACATATATCCTTAATATATATATACAATATCATGTACACGTAAAAAATTATCTCACAAGTGTTTTTATAGTAGTTGGCCATATCATGTTTTCCTTCATTGCTAAATTTGAACATTTCAAACTTACAATGCACTTTAATTTATTAACACGATAAAATATAATCCCATGGTGTTCAGGAGGCTTACTGAAAAATATAGATGTTATACTTTTTAATTCAAAAAAATTGGTAAAATTCTACGTGTGTACATAAAGTTGATGATCTCACCTTGTGAATCATTCTTTACGTAAACATTATACAGGGTATCACAAAGAATGTGACACCACATGGTGTATCAAAGAAAGAAGACCTTTAGAAATTAACCTATATTTAAATTTCATTGCCAGATCATTATGTTAATCCCACTGGTGGATTCTGTGCATATTTCACTGCAAGACAAACTATATCCAGTACGCACATGCTTTGTGGCTACTTAATTCTCCTCCCTCTGAAATGAAACACAGAAAAGTCAGATAAAGTTTTTCTCTTAAAAAAACTGATTAAGTGTGGATTTTCACAAAGTCATATTACTCTTTTTCCTAAAAATACGGTCTATAATGTCTATAACAAAAACAAAACCTCTGTAGTTTACTCATGACACAAACATAACTACCACTGATGCCTCAATTACTCAAAGCTGCCATGAATTCCGATATGGAAAACCTTAGTAAATGGGGAATTGCCAAAAAACCTAGTCTTAGAAGAGAGAACAAATCCCATTCTTCCTTTGAAGCAAAAATTATACCGCATATTGATAAAAGGAAATTTACATTATAAAAGGAATATTACATATCTGTAAAAGAATTAATCTCTGCAGCATGTCACTCCTTAAACTAATACTTTTACATGTAGAGTTTTGTAAATCTTTTCATATACTTTTTATCTTTTTTGTAAATTATTATTCCATACGCTCCTCGTAAGAAACATCGTAAATTTACAAAATTAACCTGTTTAGATAAAATTTCTTTGTCTATTTATGTCGTGAAAATGACAAAGAATTTGTACTTAAATGTCGTTTGAAGTGACTTAACGTGCACGATGTGGATATGAGGACATAATCATAGTCACAGGACTTGTAATCTAGTAATGTAATTAAATATACAGCTGCACACAAAGTAGACGTACATTATATTTCCTTTATTGTGTGAAGAGTTTTCTCCAGAGGCAAGAACAGTTAGAACAATTACAAGGTCTTTTGGCAATAGCACCAATCTCGAAATTTTGAAAGTTAATGATGTTTATGATATAATTATGTATATCATAATATATGAACTGCGTTTGTCAGTTAAATTTATTTTGTGCTATATATTTGTCAGGCAACCCTTACGTACGCGCTGCGTACCTTTTTCTACAGTATAACACGATGGTGTAGCCTGCATACAGGCAAGCTACCCATAAAACGACCAGTTTTTCATTTTATTAGTCACGTACTTTTTGTAAAATAACAAATGTCAAGATCAATGCCGTAACTAGAACGTTAATTAGGGGGGAGATGCATGAAAGAGATTTGAATTTCCAAAGAAATCAGTAGGGCACAACTGAATATATGAATAAACACCCCCTCAATTAACGTTCTAGTTACGACTCTGGTCAAGATATACTTCAAATTCAGGAGAAATTATCACTAGCGCATGGAAATGATGTCTTTAATTGGCGCACGTTACTCTCATCGCGTCTGATTTTTAAAAGTACGGGGAATGTAAGCTATGACAAAGTTTTATAATTTGTGATTCCTCTTATATAATTCAGTTTTTTTATGACGTTTGCCCCAGGCGGGACTAACAATTTCCCAAAAAATAATAAGTATTCTATTTGGAGATAAAATATACGTTATTTCAAAAACAATTTGTATTATTATGTTTTATTTGTTCATTTTCACGTTTTATTCGGTGGTTCTTAATTGCAACATCGCGAAATCTTAATACTCGAACAGAATGTTATCCTTCACGAACGATCTATTCCTGATTTAAGAGACGAGCATTTCAGAGCGATTGGTATGAGACAAAGGACTGGCTGTGTGGCAGTTCAACCTTGCAGAAAGTGTTTTTTTGGCATGGATTAAGAATGGCTACAACGACATGTGAAGTATTATGTCTGATGCTAAGAAGCATGAAAAAACTAAATTGCATTTGACTGCTTTTAAGACATAGAAAACGCATGTACCTAGTGAACGAATTGATTGTCTTATGTCCCTCGCTAGCCGAAATGAGATTCAGCATCCTAATTAGGAGGTAAGACAAAATCAAGAAATTTTAAAAACTGTTGCTGAGGCCGTGTTGTATTTGTTAAAGCAAAAGTTGCCATTTAGAGGTCATGATGAGTCCGAAGATAGCTTGAACAAAGGTAATTGTAGAGAGTTGCTTGAATGTTTCGCTAAACTGGATTTTGTATTGGAGCGTCGACTGCACAGTAGACTAACAGAATCTGATATAGTTGGTGACAGAAAATTTAATGGAGTCTCCCCAGAAATTCAAAATGATCTTATGAGCTGTCTTGATTCCATTATTGAGGATGAAATCGGGAAGGAAATAATTGATTGCACATTTACGAGTTTTCAGGTTGATGAAGCATCTGATGTTTCCACCAAAGAGCAGCTAAGTGTTATTGGTCGGTTATAAAAAGCAAGTGAAGTTGTTTAAAGGTAATTAGGATTTGTGGAATTAAGTATAAACCGAAATGTCACAGCAATATCTTATATTGTTGAAGATAAGCATGGTGAGTATTCTGATATATAAGAAATACTGGTTTTGCAAACAAATGTTGGTGCTTCTGTCATGTCTGGCCATATCAATGGTGTTTGAGCATTGGTTCGACAAGAGTATCCTTTAGCTCATTTTGTTCATTGTGCAGCTCATAGACTGAACAATCTTCCTATGCCAGTCAGCCTCCTCAATTTCTCCTGTTAAAATCTTTTTAAATACTATAGGTACATTCAGCACATTTACAAGCAATGCCACCAAAAAGAAAAGCTTTTCTTACATCGAACAACCTTAAGTTTCCTGCCTCTGGTAAAACTAGATGGTATCATCGCTCTCGATTAATCAATGTATTGCACAAGAACTATGAAAAACGTTTAGCTATTTTTGAGGGGTATTTGAACAACCAGCTGGATGGGATGATTAACAATTAAGTAAAATAAGTGGCTTACTGCATTATCTTGATAGCTTTCTCTTTTGTTTTCTAGTGTGTGTTTTTTACAGGATTTTAGAACAGTCGAAAATTTTGTATTCCCTTCTTCAAAATAGGAAAACCCATTTAAATTATGGCATAAGCAAGATTGACAATTTCAAGCAGTTTATTGTATCACTTCGCACAGATCAATCTTTCACCGAGTTTTACCAAACAGCATTAGAAAAAGTAGACCCACCAGCAACCAGAGCAGATAGCAGATACAATTACAAACAGCTTTATTTTGAGATTATTTATTTCATTAAATGCATGTTAAGTGAACGATTTCAAGATATTAATCCGTTCGAGTTTTTAGATCTTGTATATACTAAACTATTTACTACCTGGAAAGGCATAGTTCCACAAGAGAAGATCAATCTTCTCAAAGACAAATATAGTCCTCTTTTGAAAATTCCAACATTGGAGAGTCAACTTTCCTTCATTTACAATGACAAGGACTTTCACAAAGAGTGCAGAAATGAGGTGCTTAAGTACATATAGAAATTTATCCTCCAGTCGAGTTTACGTCAAGTGATAAATTTGTTAAAATTAAATGATGTCTTGGCAGTGGCAAGTGCTTCAGTAGAGAGGTCATTTCCTTGCTTGAAAAGGGTAAAAAGCTATTTGAGGAATAGAATGGGTCAAGGTCGACTTAGCACTTTGTGTAGAATATCTATTCACAAAGATATCATTGAACAAAAAGGAATCAGAGGTGTTGCATAATGAGGTTGTTGAAAAATTTGTAGAAAAACCCAGGAGGCTGGCTTTTTGTATAAATGATGGGTATAATATGTGTTTTGATATTTGTTCTTATAATGCATGGTACTTCACTGAGAAAATTAGGCATTACTTTAAGAAATAAAGCCTTCCCACTCCACCTGCCCTAATCTAAACAAGTGTAAGCTAAGTAGTGAAATGCTAAGTACAATCTCTTCCTATGCATTTAGGAAGGATTGTTTACAACATTATTTTTTGCGCTAATCCAAATTTCTTCTGTTTATTTAGGAGCAGTGATGTGTTTGATTTATTATGCTTCAGGGGACAATTGCCTCCTGCGTAACGTATCTCTGAGACATCTTTTGTACCTTTTTAACTACTTGCAGTTTTGACAATATCAACATCAAGAATGCAGCTAGTAAAAACGTGTTTTTATAACTTATTGTACAACAAATAAGTCACCCTCCAAATCGCAGGAAATGCTGTTTCCAACCTCTGGGTTTCAAAATTGTCCGGGGGAACATGCCCACCAATAATTTTGTTTGTCAATCGGCATTCTTTGATGAACAACATGCTTTATTTTATTTAAATATCATTCATTAATTACACAATTTGGAACGTCTCTCTAAAGTGACAAAAATTCATTTTATGTCAGACATAAATTTCTAAATCTTTGTATATTTGACTTTATATGAATATGATTAAAAACGAGATGCGATGGTGTTTTGCATAATATTTTTACTTTCTCATTCAATAAAGTAGAAGTAAATTATCATGAAAGCAATCAAAACTGAGCAATGCTGATGCCGGAACTTCTTATTTTGCTGTTTTAACTAAATTGTTTGAAAAAATAGAAGCAAAATCTAGATTGTTTAATGATGAACAAAATTCATCATAGGCAAATAAAATTATTTTTTGTGATCTAGCTCATCAAAAAAATGTTTAATATAGTATTATATTAAATGGCGAAAAATGTTCAATATAGTAACATTGAATGCGAAAGCCTAAATAACCTTGAGTTAGACGACAAAAAATATCGGTATATTTATCTTCCACTTGCTTTAGTTATAGTTTTTCATCGTATGGCTTAGATGATAATTAGACAGGTAATGAACAATTCTGTCTTACTGCTTTTGCTTATACAGTTATTATATATTTATTTAATTAATTATATTCAGACATTAGGTAAACTTTAGTTTGTCTAAAGTAGATAGGCGATGTTTCAACTCAATTTTTAGCATGTTTTGAGTTAATGCACTATTTCTCTCTAAAAAAGACTTCTTTTTCTTAAAAAGTGAATGTTATCAACATGATGACTCTGTCTGCACGAGAGTAAACTTAGTATGAAACCAGTCAAAGAAAGAGTAGCAGACAGAAGCTTCTTGTCAATCTTCTTGCAACAGGAAATGTGCATACAGTCTGTAGATTGATTAAAGAAATCAATTACTACCGCAAGTGGAACAGTTATTTTTCAGCATAATTTTGCTTTTCATTTATATGCGGCACAATATTGACTGTATGGATGAAATACAAGTTGACATGATCTATTCATTACGAAACAATAACTGTAGAAATAGTTTTAATCTTTCGAGACTAATTATAGTTTTTCTCGTGTTGCTGTCATTTTATGAAAGACAAAACACCTTCAGTCGTTCAGTCCGGCTACCCGAGAAATGTGTATGGTTGTGATTTTTCATTAATGGTATTATAATAGTTGTCAAAAGCACAACGAAATTCAAAGCAATGCAATCTCAAACGTGGAGCTATGTTTTGTAAATAAATCAAATACGTGCCATTAGTGTAATACACGCGTGAAAACATTCAAAAAAGATCTTGATTTGCTCAAGGAACTCTTGTTAGTAACGCATGATCTTTGCGACAGTACAGAGAAAAATCAGAATTTCAAACTCGGGCTTATGACAAGAAAACTATTGAGCTATATACATATATGAGGGGCGATGTATGGCGAATATGACTACTTAAAGCACTGAAAGTAAGCCCAAGTTTGAAATTTGGATTTTTCTGTTCTATCACGAGATTACATAAATCACGCATGACTGCCACTAATGCCTGTGTTCTAAAAGCTCACTCACACTTCATGAGTGCAACATATCATTGGAAAAATCATTTCTCCATGTATTACAAGATTTTCTTCTAGATATTTTAAATCAAGCAATCACTTGAGTGAAAGTACTGTCTTCTAATAATTATGATATGATTTTGAAGCCCCAGTCATTGAGTGTGAGTTTGCGTGAGCTTTTACAGACGGGCGTCAGTCCTTGAACTAATCAAAATCTTTCTTGCATTGTTTCACACGTTAGTGTCACAAATGACACGTATAATGAAATATGATTTTACCTTCAATAATATTCTGCCACATGTGAGATGATAATGCTGGGAATTTCGTTGTGCTATTTGGCAAATTATATAACACGAAAATATAACAAAATACTGTTCTCGACCAGCCCGAGTGAACGCCTGATAGGCTTTTTGTGTTGAGTGAACTGAAACATCCATCGATTGCGATCAAACTCAATATTATCTTTTTATATCTATCTCTAACTGATAAAGAACAAAAAAAAAATTTAAGGAAAATTTTAAGCCCAGACACCTTTCGTTCGCACGCAAACATTCCACGGTTGTAGGAAGTCAAATAGAATGGATATTGTATAGTGGCAAGAAAAACGCCAAATTTACGTCTACTTGCAAAACTAAAATATGAACAATATAGCATAAGCAATAGCGTCATGTAAAGTTTACTGGTTTATAGTATATAAGCGTATGCTCTTTAAAACAAAAAACAGCCAATTCAGTTTTAAGCAATTCATCTAAACAACGCATAAATTGACGTTAAAATGGCTATCAATATGATAACTATTATGTATATCGCACTTGGATGCGCTCATTCTGAGGAGTTACTTATATTATTCACACAGTTATGGCACAGCTTTTGGAGGGGAGCCATTCTTCAGGTACATAACTAGATAAAGTAGAAATTTTTCTTAGAGATTAAAACATTCACAGACAATGTATAAAGCTTGGAGCACTCTATAGCACTACTCATCAAATAAAAAAGTGTTTCGATGCCTTGACTTTGAAGTATAGAAGCGACTTAGTTAGAAAAATAACAAATAACTTAATTTTTAGAATGTTTTGAATTCATCGTAAATAATGCACCGTTTTGATTAGTTCCACAAATAAAGACTTTCTTTTTCTTAAAAAAAGAAAGTTGTCAGCATGACATCTTTAAACCCAGGAGAGTAAATTTAATAAGAAAACAGCAAAGAAAGAATAACAAATACAAGCTTCTTGTCAAGCTCTTTACAACAAAGAAGTCTGTCAAAGTCTGTTGCTTGATAAAAGAAATCAATTTATATCGAAAGTTGAACAGGTATTTGTGTGCAAGATTTTGCTTTTTTATTTCTATAATACGCAGTAAATACTGCATGGATGAAGTACCACATTACTTATTGACTTATTGACTTGATTTATTTATTACGAAATAATTACTGTAGAAACAATTCTTAATTCTAAAGCTTTCAAGACCAACATGAAAGATTATGTAACATATCTATCGAAATTAAATAAACTTCATATAGCATCTTCTCTGGATCTATTCCTACGATTATTTTCCTGCCATAAAAAGCATTAACTTTTGTGTATGAATAAAATTAGGGATTATAACGATAGTCATCTCATAGCTAACTTTCCGTAAGCTATTAGTAATTACGTAAACGTACACGCTCATGAGAGGAGCTTTATATTGCTATATCAAAAGGCAACTGATAAAGAAAACACAATAGAATGAAGTAAAATTTCAAACCCAGCAATTTCTCGTTTATACCCAAACATTCCACAATAAGAAAGTCAAATAGAATATAAATTGTACAGTTGTAAAATACGCCAAATTTACGTCTGTTTGTAAAACTAAAATTTGTACATTATAACATGAATATAAGTGTCACGTAAAGATAACTGGTCTGATGTGTGTAGCATGCCTATAAAACAAAAAATAACCAATTCAGTTATAAGCAATTCTTCTAAACAATGCATAACTTGCCTTTAATAAAGCTATCAATTAAACATGATAACTATGAAATATGCTGCTTTTGCCTACTAAATAGTCGTACGATATTTTCCTTGTTAAGCTTGGTAGCGCTATTTCTGGAGGAGTTTTTTATATCAAATATAGAGTTATGTCAGAGGCCATGGAAGTGAGCCATTCTACAGAGGCATAGCTAGATAAAGTAAAAATTTTTCTTAAAGATTAAAATATTCAATATTCATTCTGCATAATAGTTTGTATTTAAAGACGACTGTCAAAAAACTGGTATTAATATCACTGGAGGAGCTTACAACAAGCATAGACTTAATATTTCAAACAATGATAACTATAACGACACAATGAAAGTGGCAGCAAAAGCAGGTTATCATATATTAAAGGTATATGTATGAAATATGGTGTGAGGGATCAAAGGAAACACTTGAAAAAATTTTCCAGCTCTTAAGAGCAATAAGTTGTATTGATTCACTGCAAACGTTTGTGTTATCTAAGAATGGTGGCACCGCTGTTGAAGCTGTTGAAAAGTCTGTTAGTATTTTAGAGGATTTTGAGTTATTCAAGGCAGGTCGTGGATCGGAATTGACCGCCAACGGGGTAGTTGAATGTAATACTATGATTATGGAGGGACATACTTTAAAAATAGGTTAGAATTAATGATGGTTTATAAGACAATGTATTGTAAACAAGCAAAACCTTTATATCATAATAAAGCTTGGTGCACTCTATAGGTCTACTCATTAAATGAAAAAGTGTTTCGATGCCTTGACTTTAAAGTATAAAGCGACTTAATTAGAAAAAAACCCAGATAACCTAATTTTTAAAATGCTTTGAATTCATCCTGTATAATGCACATTTTTTCATTAGTTCCTCAAATAAAGACTTTGTCGATACTTTTCTCTTTAAGCTTGGTGTATCATTATTTCTAAAGGAGTTGAAAAGTCTGTTGACCTTAAAAGGGTTATCAACATAAAAACTATTATTATTAGAGCTCTTGCACGCGCATTTTCTGGGGGAGTTCCTTATATCGTTTACAGAGGTATGGCACAGCTTTTGGAAGAGAGCCATTCTTCAGGTACATAACTAAATAAAGTAGAATTTTTTCTTAGAGATTAAAACATTCAAAATTTCTTTTACAAAATGGTTTATGTTTGAAGATTTTGGTATTATTATCACTGGAGGAGCCTATAAAAGGTATAGACATGTTACATCAAAAAGGGATGAGTATATCAACACAATAAAAGAGGCAGCCAAAGCAGGTTATCGTATATTAAAGGTATATTCATGAAATATAGTGTGAGGAATCAAAATATCTTTTGAAAAATTTTTCCAGTTCTTAACAGCAATAAGTTGTATTGATTCACCGCAATCTTTTGTGTTATCTAAGAATGGTGGCACTGCTGTTGAAGCTGTTGAAAAGTCTGTTAGTATTTTAGAGGATTGTGAGTTATTCAAGGCAGGTCGTGGATCGGAATTGACCGACAAAGGTGAAGTTGAATGTGATGCTATGATTATGGACGGACACAACTTAGAAACAGGTTGAAATTAATGATGGTTTATAAGACATTGCATTATAAACAAGCAAAAACTTATATCACAATAAAGCTTGGTACTCTCTATAGGAGTACTCATCAAATGAGAAAGTCTATTCACATTTTTTTTCTATGTCTTCTAGGTGCAGTAATCTCGGGTCGACATTTCAAAAATCCAATTTGTCTTTCACGAAAAATTATGGAAGAATCACCACATTGTGCATTTAGTGGTGATGGTGCGTTGGATTATGCTAAGAGTATTGGTTTTCCTTATTGCGACCCGAAGGAATTGATAACAAAAGAACAGATTGAAGAATGGGAGCTTCATTATGACGAAGAACATTTTACTGATAGCGATACTGCATGTGCTGTTGCAATTGATAAAAATGACAACTTGGCGTGTGCCTTATCAACAGGTAATGAATAACTAAGACATGTCGTATGTTTAATTATGTGCATAATCATAGGTAAATCTATGACGGGGGGGACATATTCTAAAATACATGATGTGCATTGTTAAGATCCTTTGAAATCCATTATTCTGTACAAAATATAACATGCTTAAATGAATATGAGAACCCCCCCCCACCAATTTTGAATTTTCTTATTTTTATGCATATGTTCAGTGATTAAATAACGAGAAGTAAAACACAAATTCAACAACATCACAGTTATTACATACATAATCATAGGAGGTATAGGCGGGAAACTCAAAGGTCGTGTTGGTGATGCTGCATTAGTTGGTTGTGGTGGATATGCAAATAAAAAAGGAGCAGCTGTAACATTTGGTCGCGGAGAGAAGCTGATAAAATTAACTCTAGCACGTCAAGTTGTCTTTGAAATGGAAAATGGAAAAAGTGCACAGGTATGGTGAAATAAATCATTTATTTCTTTGTTCGATAGTCATTGCTTTAATTTACGCGTTAGCTTTAACGTATTACACAGTAAATTTCATAAGAGTAATGATGTTAACAAAAATCATGTGATTAATATTTGGAGCTGTGCAAACTAGTTCTTTTGAGGTGTGTGTTTGTCAATTATTGCTCGAAAATTATTAATGAATTGGAAAGTTGTAGCCATCTAGATATACTAACCAAATCAACCCACAAAAAATTGAAGATTTTTGCAAAGCCGTCTAGAACAATCAGGAATTTGGGGGAGGGCCATATAATCATATTCATATAAGCTTGTTATACTCCATAGAAAACACTTTGGATTACCTATTTCCGCTAAGATTTACCGAAATTGACCACTTTGTAGAAAATTTTGCAATTTCGCACTTCCCCCTAAAGAAAGAGCAAAGAGAAAAATATATAAGTATTAGTCATATTTGGCAAGTAATTTATGATGAACTTCTCAGTAAAAACATAAAATTCATAAGAGCAAGTCTGCGGAGATTGCAAGTTTTCGGCTACATTGATCGATGCCTTTAATAACTATCGACAAACGAGGTACTTGTTGTCTACATATTAATGCAGATGTGCGTCGTAGCTGTCGTCTAATGTTTGCTCTAACAAAGTTTGTAGTCTACACAAAACAAAACTATATCATAGTTTATCTTTGAGGTTCACGAGAGAAATGTTAGCTCATTTATTCTCATTATTGTTTTTGCTTCCTTTCATGTAATGGCCTTTTTTGCAATTACTGTAGGATTTCTACTGGTACAATCATGTGTCGTTTTTTATAAATGAATAATGAAAAAAATATAGCGTACAAATTCAAAGAATCTCTGAGATTTCACGGTCTTCTGAAATGGAACTATATGTAATACTTATAAAATTTTAGCACAATTGATTTTGTTGTATTGATTTATGAAATAGACAAAAATGCTAATAATTACTCATACACTTGAATTACCATAGTGTTTATAACTTAAGGCTATGAATACACAATTTTGCTTTTATTACTTCAGTGAATAATACTTTAGTGAGTCGTCTTTTACTCTTTCTTTATTTCCTATTAGCAATGTAAGTGCAGAATTTGGCTGACTAGTGCAGCTTTCATCTCAATAACAAATATCAAACCTCTATTTAATACCAGTTGCTATTAGATTTTTTCCATTTGAGTATGCAACATCATGAAGTGCATGTACACATGTAAAAATAAGGGAATAAAACCAAATGATTTAAAAATTTTGTGTATTAAATAGGAGAGGCTTAACAACTTTTCAGAAATTATAAAACTATTAAATTGTAATACCAGTATCTCGATCATATTATGAAAAGAATTAAGAAATAAAAATTGAAGAAAAACTTGGAAAAGTTTCCTTGTTTAAAAAGCAGAAAATAAGTTAAATGACAAACGTCCATTCTGTATTCTAATTCGTCATATTTTTTAATGCTCAATCGCAATGCAGATCGTTTGAAATTGTTTTCGCATACATTCAGATTTACCAAAGTTTTTTAAAATTTTTCGCCTAAATTCAGCTAATCTGCACTTCGTTTGAGCATTCAAAAATATGACGAATCACAAGGTGAATGTCACCAGCATAGGTTTTTACAAAATATTCGCTACAAATCCTAAAACATTTGCAATTTTCATATGCATAGAAACACATCTTAATCTTGAAAAACTGCAAAATATCGTAAAATTTATTTGTTATTTATGAGATGTATTTGTTTTTCGTGTTTTTCCATGTATTTATTAGATATGTACTGTGAAAGTGTTTGTGTTAGCGGTCGGTAATTTTGTTTTGAGAGTTGCCTACCTTGTTAAATATATAAGAAATTGAAGACCATACGAATGTGAAACTCGCACGAGATATTGCAGGCGATAAACATTGCTCATGAATCAAGGAATATATTTACTGTATTTAAATCGTTTGCATATAAAGCCTGAACAAAACAGATTTCTTTGCCGCCTATTTGTACGTGGTTGTTCAGTTTTTCTATTGAATAATTTATTCAATTCTGCCTTGACCAATTCCGAATAGAGTTCTTGCCAAACTTTTTATTTCTTTATTAAAGGAAGCGACAGACAAAGCCATAATGTTACTGAAAGATGAGCAGGACGGTTTAGGAGGAGCCATCGCGATTGACAAAAATGGAAATTTTGGAAAAGCATTTTCTACTAACCTAAAGGCTTGGGTTGGCATCCAAGATAAAAGGTTGATGGGTGAATTTGATAAAAATGATGACGAAGGAAATGTAAATTTAAAGTTTAACGAAAGAATTTGAATTGTTAAAAAACAACGGCAATTTTTATGATTTAGAAACATATATCCTTAATATATATATTCACAATCATGTACACGTAAAAAATTATCTCACAAGCCTTTTTATACTAGATGGCCATATCATATTTTCCTTCATTGCTAAATTTGAACATTTCAAACTTACAATGCACTTTAAATTATTCACACAATAAAATATAATCCAATGGTGTTCAGGAGGCTTACTAAAAAATATAGATGTCATACTTTCAATGCAAAAAAATTGGTAAAATTCTACGTGTGTACTTAAAGTTGATGATCTCACCTTGTGAATCACTCTTTACCTAAACATTATACAGGTTATCAGGAAAAATGTGACACCACATGGTGTATCAAAGAAAGAAGACCTTTAGAAATTAACCTATAGCTAAATTTCAATGCAAGATCATTATGTTAAAACCACTGGTGGATTCTGTGCATATTTTACTGCAAGACTAATTATAGCCAGTACGCCCATTCTTTGTGGCTACTTAATTCTCCTCCCTCTCAAATGAAACACAGGATTTTCACAAAGTCATATTACTCTTTTTCCTAAAAATACGGTCTATAATGTCTATAACAAAAACAGAACCTCCATAGTTTACTCATGACACAAACATAACTACCTTTGATGTCTCAATTACTCAAAGCTGCCATGAATTCTGAGATGGAAAACCTTAGGAAATTGGGAATTGCCAATAAACCTAGTCTTAGAAGAGAGAACAAATCCCTTTCTTCCTTTGAAGCAAAAATTATACAATATTGATAGAAGGAAAATTTACATTATAAAATGAATATTACATATCTGTAAAAGCATTACACTCTGCATCATGTCACTCCTTAAACTAATACTTTTATATGTAGAGTTTTGTAAATTTTTTCATATACTTTTTATCTTTTTTGTACATTACTATTCTATACGTTCCTCGTTAGAAACATCGTAAATTGACAAATTTAACGTGTTAAAATAAAATTTCTTTGTCTATTTATGTCGTAAAAATAACAAAGAATTTGTAGTTAAAATCTCGTGTAAAGTGACTTAATGTGCACGATGTGGATATGAGGACATAATCAAAGTCATAGGACTTGTAATCTAGACAAGAGCACAGTATAGTGAATATACAGCAAAGCAACTCTACTGAAATTTTTCATGCCATGCATATCTTATTATGCAAGTGAATACCATAGTGGCAGCCAGTCAAATGCTTTTTTTGACTAATACAAATGATGAAATGGCTAGCGGCAGCCAGTAATCTAATTCAATATACAGCAGCCAATCGCACACAAAGTGGACCTTCTGTATATTCCCTATATTGAGTCAGGAGTGTTCTCCAGATGCAAGAATAGTTAGAACAATTAAAGTTCTTTTGGCAATAGCACCAATCTCGAAATTTTGAAAGTTAATGATGTTTATGATATAATTATGTATATCATAATATATGAACTGCGTTTGTCAGTTAACTTTATTTTGTGCTATATATTTGTCAGGTAATCCATACGTACGTGCTGCGTACCTTTTTCTACAGTATAACACGATGGTGCAGCCTGCATACAGGCAAGCTACCATAAACAACCAATTTTTCATTTTATTAGTTCACGTATTTTTTGTAAAATAACAAATGTCAAGATCAATGGTGTAACTAGAACGTTAAATGGGGGGGGGGATTTATGAAAGAGATTTGAATTTCAAAAGAAATTATTACTAGGGCGTGGAAATGATGTCTTTAATTGGCGCACATTACTCTCATCGCGTCTGATTTTTAAAAGTACGGGGAATGTAAGCTATGACAAAGTTTTATACTTTGTGACTCCTCTCACTTAGTTCAGTTTCTTGATGACGTTTGCGTTCACCACGTTCGTTTGCTTTAGCATTTCCTGTCTTCTGTTTGTAACTCATAGAGTAAACGATACGGAATAAATTTAAAGTTCAAAGCTCACGAGTTCTGAGGAACGCGCATTATATTAAACAGTAGATTGCATTGTTTTCAACAGCATAAATGGTCTATACTGAGTACACTTAAATAGTCCAGAATAGCAAACACTAAACACAACATATGTCAAAATGCTACATGCCTTTTGAAAGGCCTGGCATGTAGGCTTAAGACTAATTAATTTAATCGGTAATCCGCTAATGGTTGTTTACCAAGAACAAAGTAAGACAGTTTACTACATTTTTAGAGTATTTCTAATAAAAACAGTTAAAATTAATGATTGTGATTTACTGCCATTTACAACATGTACGACATAGCAACACTCCCGATGAAATAATATAAATCACATATACAGCAACATTTTCTCTTTCTTTGAAGTCGACTAGGGCAGAGATGATCATTTCAGTGATGTAGCTAGCAGTCCCGCTACTCCCGCCAGGCGGGACTAACAATTTCCCCAAAAATAATAAATATTCTATTTGGAGATGCAATATACATTATTTCAAGAACAATTTGTATTAAGTTTTATTTGTTTATTTTCGCGTTTTATTCGGTTGTTCTTAATTGTTACACAGCAAAATCTCGATACTCGAACAGAATGTTATCGTTTATGAACGGCCTACTCCTGATTTAACAATCCAAAATAAGGGACGAGCATTTCAGAGAGATTAGTATGAGACGAAGGACTGGCTGTGTGGCAGCTCAACCTTGCAGAAAGTGTTTTGTAAAAACGTGTAAAATGTGTAAAATGTGTAATTATAGCAGATGATCTCACCATGTGAATCACTTTTTACGTACATATATACGGGGTTTTCCCAAAAAGTTACAAATACAGGATGTATTAAAAAAGACCTTTATAAAATTTAACCTATTGTGAAATTTAAATGTCTGATAACCATGTCTCACTGATGCATTTTTCCAAACTAATTTTTATGAGACTAATGATGTGCATAAAAGTCGTTTGACTTATATTTAGAATTCTGCAAACCATTCAAAATGGAAAGTCAATTTTCAAAATATGTCTAATTATAAACCATCGAGAGTAAAAATCATTTAGTTGATCAATCAGCATTCTTGGACGCACAACATGCTGTATTTTTCCTGAATATCGTTCATTAAGCTTACTCTTTGAAATTTCAGTCTGAAGTGATAAAAATTTACTTTACGTCAGATACATAATCCTAAATGTTTATACATTTAACTTTACATGCAAATAATTAAGTACAAAATGCGAGGGTGCTTTGAAATTAGTAAATATTATTTTAACTCTTTTTTTCATGCAATAAAACATAGAAGTACAATATTATGAAGGAGCCAAAAGTTAATCGCCATGTTTTAATTAATGATGATTATATCAGGAAAGAGACAGCCAAAGCAGGTTGTGATACATTAAAGGTATATGTATGAGATAAAGTGTGAAAGATCAAAAAAACTCTTCTAAAGTTTCCCCGTTCTTAGCAGCAATAAATTGTTATATGGATGCTGTGTATGTTAAATGTGATTGGTTCATTCGTAGTCACATGACTTGAAAGAAATGCACGGTTTCATGCCAGGGAAACAAGTGAAAAATTTTTGCTTGCTCATTTTAATATCATGACAAATAAAACAGCCACAAAGCTGAAAACTAAAAAGACGTTATTAAGCGATGAAATTCAACTATTAACAGCAAAAAAGATTTGGAAAACACTCGGAAGTCGACCAAAAATGTTGTGGTCACCTTTAGCATTTTGCAACGAAATTTTGCAGCCTAATCTGAAAACAAATATTGCAGCCTAATCTGAAAATTACAACTAAATTTACATATGATCCTTGTAAGAAAAGGTTTTAAGTTTTGCGGGTGAAGTTTTTCCTCCTTTCGATGACTTAAAATCGTTTCACGCCTCGCTGAATCTCGGTTACTGAGTTCATGTGAACAGCCCGGTGGACAAATGTGAAAATTATTTATGACACGATATAAATCAACACACACATTTTGTAACAATATTGCAAAAAACACATTTATACACAATAAAACTATGTTAACAGGTCTTGAAAAACAAAGTTTAACAAAACATCGCGCAAAAAGAAAGCTAGATAATTTATTACAAGTGTAAAATAAATGAATGCCAACCAGTCTCTAAAATGGCAAATGCAATTGTTCTGTTTCAATAAAATATGGGTATTTTTCAATATGCTTTAATTACGGTGGCCCACAAGTGCAATACACAAAATATAAATTTCAATGCAACATCTATGTTTCAGATGCGAACTTTAACATTACGAAACAAAATTAATGTTTCCAAAGCGCACTAAATTATTGAAATCTCAAATCAAAGTCCGCCAATGCAAAACAGAAAAGTGAAAACGAACTTATTAAAATGTTTCAGTGCAAAATATTTGTTTAGCCAATGCAAGATGATTACCGCGCTCCAAAGCTAATGCAGGCTCATTCAGAATCAGCAAGTGTGTTTTGATTTCTAATTCTTTGCTATCGCCTTTCGTTTTTAATTTGCTATCTTTTGGAGTAGTGTTCTGTTCATATTGCGGAGAAGCGTAGGAGAATAGTTATCAATTTTTCCCATATTGTGGCTTCAAATCACCTACTATATCAAGAGCTGACAACTTCCTGGATGACAACGAAACGTGTTGTGATGAACTGATTGTTCGCTATTTTAGACAAGGTTTGGTGAATGAAAAAATTTGCATGTTTTTTGCCATGTACCACGACATGAAAATGTTTCTACGCAGTTTAAATAGCAAAATTGCTTCTTTGGGATTGCGAAAAACAAATGCAGTTGGAGATATTTGTGTCATCCGTAATTTTATCAAACAAGAATTCAACGAATAGAAAGCTGGTGGTCATTTCTTAGGAAAAGTCAATCCAACTGGTGGATGAATTTTTTTAAGAACATGATTGACAATGGCCAGTTAAACACTTCAAATTTCCTGCAAAAAGAATGCTTATGGTTTTGCTTTTCCAAAGTCTTACAAGAACATTTAAATGGTGTGAAGGAGCATTGGAATAGTCACTATATTCGCAAGTCTAGATTTAATACTGTCTCTGGAAGACCAGATGAATTGTATTTTCTACCTGAGTGCAACGGAGCTGCCAATTGTATCCAACCTGTGAATGAAACTGATTTTGAAGACATGAGGGAATATTGCCATGAAGATGTGGAAACTAATATTTTTCAGGAATATTTTTTGCATGTAACGGATACTCTTCACTTACCCCCTTCCATCAATAGGAGAAATGCTCTTGATTTGTAGGAATATTTACATCAAATTGATCAAAGTGTGCCATAAGCCAAACAAATAATTGATCATTTTTAGTTTTTTAATTAGTGTAAAACTTTTTCAATAGCGTGATTTTAAAATACGTCACAATAATGTTAAGGAAGTGATGACAAAATTCTAAATGGTTGTTGCCAATAAAAAGTCAGACTGAACGCTAACTAAAGCAGATATTTATAGTTTCTACATAATAAAAATAATGAATCAATCAGTTGGTGAAAGAATTGTTTCAACAGTATATTATGCATTTCATCACAAACAACAAATACAATATTGGAATGTCATATAATATTTAGGCTGCGTTTACACTATACCGGATTCGCTCATCACGACATCTTCATTTGCTTTTAAGGAGTAACTGCTCGGAGTAGAAGCTTATTAAGCTGATAGATTTAGTCCTTTTGATTGTGTTTCTGACGTTGAACAATTTCACTGCCTTTTACTATAAAGAATATTCAACCTGCTACGATAGCAATCCGGTATAGTGTAAACGGGGCCTTAGATGTGTTGATATGACTTTAACGTCCTCACTAGACAATATCGAACGTCCATGAACTTTTCTCGCGAAGAATGGATGAAGAATCTACCACTACTTTATTTAGCACTGATAGGTGCTTGGAACTTCAACTAAAGGACCACAAGTATGCACAACAGGCCGACGGGCTAAACCATTTAAGTCAGTGAATGTGATCTTCCACTTTTTTTCTGGCAGAAGGACACTGGTTCCAATAGCGAACTGTACAAATGCAATTACGTTACTTCGTAGAGATTCAATGAATTAGGTTAAGTGGTGTAACCGATGTTTGTTGTCATTTTCTGGAAATGCATCAAGCATTTTAATGGCTTTCTAATGTGTAGGCTTTTTTATCGTAAAACAAGAAAATGTTTGAGATATTCTGAAATTATGCACCTTCGATCTTCAACGATCGTAGTATCGGATTCCAGCAACTGCAACTTGGAAGTATAGTAACGGATTCCAGGGTTAGGAAATTACTTGGTCATATAACTAAAAAGCATTTTCAAATCTTGAAAAGTTTGACATAAATATTAAATATATAATTTTATTTTAACTATGTTGATTAAATCTACTTCGTTCAGTAGCTATATACTTGCAGGCTAACATGTACGCATTGCGTACCTAGTTTCATAAAATGTATGCCATGTATTTAATAAACGCAGTGTTTTGGGAGATATACCCAAAGGCCATGAAATGAAGAAAAAACAAACGTGAATATTCATGATAGCTACAAATAAATAGTGTTCTCACGAAAAGCTTCGCTTGGCCCCAAATGTGGACACTGTTTTTTCCAGAACAAAACGAAATGGAAGGGAAAACCGGCGGATCCGGTAAAAAACCCTCCACATAAAAGAAAAGATCAAAAATTTAAAAAAATTTCTTTAAACTTTTGTAGTTTTAAGATGTCTCATATTTTTGTTGTTTTTAATGATCCCGATGATCTACTTTAACACGCAGCGTAATCAGATCGCAGAACGTAAAATTTTCAGAGCGACAAAAAAGCGGGCTGACTACCATATTTTGTGTTCGAACAAAAGAAACAAAAAATTTTGAAGAGAACAAAAAATGAAAGAGCGCGGAGTCTCAACAAAAACTTTAATAAATAGAAGAAAAATGAAAACTATTAGTAGCCATACATAAAGCATATGAAAAAATATTCAGTGCGTAAGACCTGACCATTCACCTTTCAATAACAATGAAAAATGAAATGACCAAAGTGACGTCATGACTTTCATAAAAATCATTTTTGATGTATACCAGACTTTGTTCCATTCAAAATTATTACTTTGCTTCATTAAGACCTTCATTAATAGCCGGCTTTCACTCGTGTGTTTTGTCAGAAATTTTAACAATTGTGAAAATTTAGTTTTACGGAGTTTTTTAACTGTTGAATTTGAAAATGCGTTATATTGCTAAACATTATGCATAATAAAAGTCGCAAGTGTGAATCTTTCAATCAGGACGCTTGTCTCTTGGTGCTTCTGTCCGACTTGGTCGTTCATTCATTGCACAGTTAGTAGGCCTACAGACATAGCTTCTCTATAAAAAAAACACGTTACAAATGTCAGCATAATGTATGAACAAAACAGAATTTAAATACACTGAAAAGAACAAAATTTTAATTCCTGATTTCCAAGCGTTGTCCCGGTCAGTCTGATCCAGGCGACTTAGTTGGTCTCTTCCTTTTTTCACCGCGCAGTTTTTGCGTGTATATCGTTGAAATTTATTGCACCACTTTTATCTTAGAAATTCAATGAACCCTACTTTCTACATTGCAATTTTCTTTATAAACGTTAAATAAAATTAGGAAAAAGTAGCGAGTGAAAGCCAGCTATTTTCTCACAGCAAATGACATCTTTTATTGATATTCTTTTTAATTTGGAAGTTTTTCATGATTATGGTTCAAATTATAAAAATAGACCATCAGGATCCTTTTTAACGATCTCATGCAGTTACTTATGGAAGTTAGTTTTAACACTTATCTACTCAACTTACAAACCACAAGACATGGATTGTGTGTTTTCCACTCGCTTGTATTCCACCTTCGTAGAATACAGTCGTTTTTAGTCCAATCACTCCAATGTTAATGTTCATACGTACATATGCCGTTATACGATGTCCATTCAAAACGTTTGTACCATTCCATACACGAAGTTACCAGCATCATTAACCAATAAAGTATTTAATGAGATCATGAATCGCTATTTCCATAGATTACAATTGGTAACTTCAAGCAAAGGAAAAGGGATCACTTCACCCCAGTTATATCATCACTCAAAGAATGCTTAGTGCAGAGTTGATCTTCTGTGAATATCAGCTGACCACCTTTAAGTGGGCTCATATAACAATGGGGCCCATCATCATTATATGAACAAACAACTGACATCAACAAAGAATCCAAACTACAAATGAACATTCTTGCTAGGTTAAGGTTAGAGAGGGTTTAAATGCGTTCTGTTTGCCCTGAGTTTCTCGACTACTAAAAATATTGTAAGAAATTCGAGCAAAAGACAATTATGGATCTCGTTCATTGCAATTCTTCACCACAATCTGAAAAAACTGCACCTCTAGCGCTCAACCACATAGTGCATTGGAGACAAACGACAAATTTAGTGTATTTATCATTGCATCTATTCAATAATGACTAATGTGACATTGAAGAAATAAACCAAAAGTCAATAGCATCAATAAAAAAACATTGAGATTTTCAGAAGAACAATATAGAGATAAATGAAGAAGCAAATAATCATTTATCGTCAGCGTAGTCACTTACAATTAGTTTCCAGCCGTGGGATTTATTTTTATACATGATACCGAAGCAAGTACGTGGGTAAAACATTTCAAAAGTGTTTGAAAGCAACACCTTTATTTTGCTTTGCACATTCATAAATCTTTTTACTTGTCGTCTATGTGTATAGTCTTGTTCCATCTTATGTGAACAACATCTACTTTTCACGACGCATCGTGATTTACTTGTGGCAACACTTGAAGTGAATAGTATTTTTATGCATGGTGTTAAGCATGTCATTATATGTATTTGTTCCACATGATTATTTAACATTCATTGTTCGTACTTGAACAAATTACCAGATATCTATCAAATCTAATTTTTAAAAACAAAACGTATTGTTGCCAAACAAAAGAAATATGCTCTCCCTTCATTGATATACGTAAAATGTAAACGATAATTGACCATTTTTCTGTGATATTACGCAAAGCCTAAATTAGTTAAAGTTATTCAGCCTATTAAACAACACAATTACATCGTTTTGGGCATTAAGATGTTGGTGACGTCAACCAAAATATCCTTAAACCCTCTCCTAACCTTAAATTAGCATGATGCGACTGCAAGATTCAACAAATATTTGGACAAAATTAAAGTATAGTTTCCAAATTTAATATCGTCTCATGAATCTAAACCTACATCATCAAGCATCGTTACTTTGCATAACGACATTAAAACGTAAAAATATCTGAAAATTCTAATGACTTTTTTTTATTCAAACGCATTGAAGGTGATTTGAACGCAGGTCTTTTTGATAGATGACATGCTCCTAAGGAGCCAATCACAATAAAACATTTTTGTCACGACGTCCATTAAAGAAATGTTAACAACGGAAAATTACACACTTAAGGGGCTAACCGTGATTCAATGAGTCGTTAAATTATTTCGACGCATTGAAAGGGTGAGGGGGCATCTCGAGTCGATTTATCTGATGATAAGTATAGAATCGTTTTAGAATTGTATTGAATAGAATTTTGTCATTACTTTGTGTTGATGCTTGGTTTACTGTAATAGTTGTTTTATGTTTGAAAAACATGTCCCAACAACTGTAGGATCAAGTTGCAAAAAATTTTAATAAGATCATTATGTAAGAAAAAAACATGACTGAAAACATGTTTTTTGGGGAGGACATTTTGCTGCGTAGCGGTTATTGATTGATGATTGGGGAGGCACTAATATTTATATACCGTATACATGTTTTACTATGTTAGTTATTTAATTTCTTTTGAAATCCATAGTGATTAAGGATTATACAAAATAAATAATGACAATAAACTAATAAAAAGGTTGACTTTTGTGCTTTTGATTCCTACAGTAGGTAGCAAAGAGTTGAAAACGCACAACAGACATGTTCATATATTTAAAATAACCCCTTCCTCTCTATTAACTACAACTTGCTCTGTTTGATTCATATTTTTTCCTTTGACAGACATTAGTCATGGTCTGTTCTTTAAAAATGATATTATGGACATAATGTTCCATTTTATAACTTAATTAAGGCAAAAAACCAGCAATGTATAAATTAAGTGTTCCATAATTGTGGAAAAGTGTGAATTGGTAGAATATTGTTTAAAAAATAAGGCAGGTTATAATTTCACCTATCAAAACAGAAGTTGTCACCTGTCATAGTTGTGATGCAGTTGATGTGAAATAAAAAACACCCCTTCATCAATGACACCAAAAAATGCACTGTTTATAGGCAAACCTTGCTTCTATAGTTTCCTCAAGGATGCGACAACTTGGGTAATTATATTTGTCGAATGGAGATTCTCATGTTGATTCACCTCACCACTAGCTTCATCTTTAATACAAGTTTCAACTATAGCCACAGATGAATTTTCAAACAAAGGTAAGGTCTAGCTTCTTGGAGAAGTTGGTTGAAGCTATCTGAAGAAATGTAGAGAGATTAGGAAGATATAAAACAAAGTAACAAATTCCTGTAATACTCCAAGCATGGTAAAACAAAACTCTGTAATTTAAATGTATCATTTACATTTATTAAGATGCCAGTTAGGCATGATAAAAGGGTTCAAATTGGTATTTGAGGAAGGAGCCCTTTGCTCAAATTTCTCTCACCAAAATCAAGGCAATCTATAATTGATAACATTGATAGAAAGCCATCTAGATTGAAACATGCACTAATTTAGCTTTAAAAACAAACTTAAACTTTTATGACATTTTGATAACCCTACTATGCTATTAAAAGATAAAAAAGTGCACTATAATTCAATGTATTGACTTGAAATATATGATTTGCTTAATGCACATGATAAGGTAAAATTGTAACAGTGTTTTGTGAAGAAGCAAATAATGCCATGTTCCAACCGATATTTCAGAATGCAAGATTAGTTATAATTATAAGTCAATATCTTGGGAATAGTAAAAAAAGTATCTTAGTTATGTTAAGTCTTAAAGTATAAGACTTAGTTATGTTAAGTGTTATGTTAAGTCTTAAGTTTTTTTTTTAAGTTTTTTTAAATTGTCCAGCTAAGTGCGAAGATCATATCTCATTTATTTTGTTACTGTTACATTCTTAGGTCATTGGTGTGTAGTCTAATTTAACACATAAAACCCTGTTTCCATATAATCGTCACGATCGTCTGTCGTCTGAAAGCGTGCAGGAACGATATTGCACGCAAACGTTTTAATCGTCTGTAATCGCTTTGATGGCCTTGTTCGTTTCGATAGTCTTATGGAAACCGGGCTTAAACGAATGCGGAAATGACATTTTAAAATATAAATTAAAATGAACAAAAAATGTGCTGCCTTTCGGGCATTTCACTATACATCATAACTCATAAAACTTGAAAATTATGGTTTAGTTCAAAATCCACGATGCTAAATCATCAATAAATGTAACTCACCTCTGTATATTTCATACTGTGTTGTAAACATTTATCGAGATGTATTTACGGTTCTCGGTTTGTTTGAAATTGCATCTTTAGTGGTCACTTACATACAGTTTTTATTCTATTTTTTTTCGCACGCATATCTTTTTCCAAACACTCATAAACAAACGGGCAAATTCGATTGTACAATGGATTGTACGCGCGGAATATGTCTGTCGGGGGAGAAAGTTAAACGTAAATAACGCAAAATATTTTTTATTTCAACCAATCATTCGCGCCATTGGTTCCCGCACTTGCGTAAAAAGTTTGAGGTTTAAATTTAAATTCATCCCGCTGCACGAATCTCAATTCGATTTCATGCGCCACTAAAGAGAAGCTTTATATAAGGAAAAAGGTAAGTTATAACTTATATGTAGATCGGGTTTATTTAATTAGAATAACATCAAGATGGATAGGTCTAATTGAAAGTACTTTGTATTTTACACAGATAAATTTGAAGTTATTGCCACATGATAATAAACGAAATGTAACTATTTAAGCTGATTTGTTATTTTCAAACCATTGTTACATAAATAAATCGTCATGCCAAACGCATTTTGAAGTTTAACATACTAACGATTGTACAATTGTACGTATGTCGTTAAGTAGTACAACTGCACGTCGGCGAAGGCCGACCGAACTCTTGTGGACAAATATACACTATAGCAGGCACGTTTATATGAACGGGCTATCTACAGGGTGTATCAAAGACGACATTTAGAAACTAACCTATCGTGAAATTTCAAGACCTGATGACGATGCTAAACTCTGTGATACATTTCAGCACATGTTTTGTTGTTAGAACTTGTGTCAAATTCCCAGGATCAGAAAAGCTTTTGCGCAAGTATATGCACGTAGCTAACAATACTTTATGCAGTAGTGAGCCGAGCCTAGTCGTAGCAATTGAAATTATCACAATATGTCAATTTATAAAGATCTTTGATACACACTGTACAATATAAACCTTGTACACTTAACACTTTGTACACAATACACCCTGCAATAATAATACACCCTATCCCTGCACACTTTACACCACGAACACTAAACACTCTTCAATATTCATCAATAAACACTGCACCGAGGGCATGAAAAAATTTAAACATTGAAACCATTTGAAATCAACTCAAGTTTAGACTGTTAACGCATGGTTCAGCAGTAATTGTACCCCAAGGAGGCAGCTAGTACATAGTAAATCCAAGAATATAATTCCTTTTAATTGTGTTTACGCCTCCTTGTGGATCAATGGAAAATTTTAAAGGTCAGATGATATCTACGGATTGAAGTTTTAACACACCCTGTATGCTTTATATACACAATTTGTATAACAATGTACCCTCCTGTGAAATGGTGGCTCGGGGAGTAGAACAGATGGTTACACATTGTTGCTGTTTTACACTAGAGTCGCCAGAGTGCTCAAACATGTAGAAATATTCCTTCGACTTTTATGTTCACAAGGACAATATTCATAAGACATCCCTACAACATAAGACAAGGTATAAACAAATTTTTAAACTTGGGTTTGCCAGAGGGGGAAGGGAATCTTAAAAAGAATGTGGTTATGTGGATGCCAAAGATGATTATATAAACAGGAAAGGCATACTGTATATAATCTCAATGTTTAAAGTTGTGGAACACAAATATTGAAAATCAAATGGTCTGTCTGTACTGTATGCATGTTATTCAGACCTAGCTTCATTGAAATACTGAGTGATGCCATGAAATGCTCTTCAAAGTAATGTTTAATGGTGAACATTCTGTCTCCAAACGCTTTCCTGCTAATCTTCTATACCCTAATATGCTTACTTTGACAAAAATTGCAAATGAGAAACCACACAATCAGCACGATGATGCAAATATAGATTACCTTAAGCAAAAAGAATGGAAAATTCACTTGGTAAATTAAAGCTTAATTAATAATTTTAAGGAAGCTTATTGAGCTTTAAATGAAATACATACCATATGCTACTTTGAACATGATCGTATCTGACAGTGAGTTTCTACTCAACTTTAAAATTAAGTTCCTGAATGAGGAAAAATTATTTTCAGTAAAGAATCACAAGTTAATTACTTCAACTAAAATGAATACTCCTCCTTAAACAAAACATTAAGATGCATTATGTGTTGAAAGCATACAATAAGAGGAAAACATGACACAACTGCCAAATTGGTGATGACGATTTTAAAGATGTGCCCTCCCCCATTTTAGTCCTTCCAGCGCCGCTGTGAATAAGATGGTAAGTTCAATATGATAAGTTGCATCTGAATTTGTGCAAACTTAAAATTTATAGTTATTTGAATGCACCAGAAGAATGGCCAGCTTCAAAATATTGCACAACATGCTTTCTGCACATGATAATATAGCCATAGAGCAACTAGTTTTTGGAATTCTTATGATTTTTCAACTGCATCATCTTGTTTACAATAATTCCTTATTGGCATCTTGGTTGAAAAATATTAATTTGTAGAATAACAAGATGTTCATTCACAGTGACTAATTAAATGTGACAATGTATATGTAATCAAGGGCGGATCTACAATTTTTCAAACATCACTTATGAACGCCGGAAGCGTTCCGCACCTGGGGGTTCTAAGGTACTCTCTCCTGGGAAAATTTGAATTTCAAAGTGTTGGAAATATCATTTCCAGCATTTAGAGCAATACAAAATGTTTTCTGTGGGCATCGTTTCGCTGACTTAACCTTGTACATTTTTGTACACAATACACCTTGTACACAGAGTGTGTTGTGCACAGGGTGTATTGTGTACAAAGTGTTAAGTGTACAAGGTGTATGTTCAACTAAAGAGAATTCTCATCCAATATCTTTCTTATTGGGACGCTAAAAGAATGGCATTCCCAAACACCTCATCGCCACATTGAGACACAACGTTCTTATTGTAAAACCGATAAAAAAAAGGCAATCAGTCTTCAACCTTGCAGCTTTCAGTATGGAGTTTATCGAAAATCACATTGCTTCGCTTTTCTGGTGGCAGCGGCTCGTGTACTATGTGCTTTGAACGTTTCTATATCAATTCCTGCAGCTTGCATGACAACCTTTATCGAACGAGATATAGATGACATTGATACTTTATAAAAGGTCAAATTGTGCTAAGAAATAATTGATTTTCCTGACTGAATGGGAGCAGTGCGTTTAATATATTCTTCCATGACTGAGGCAACACATAGTCGGTGATCGGCAGGGAACTTTGGTATCACTAAAGTAGGTTGAATGCGTGTTGCTCCAGACTGTTTGACAAGTTGGTCGATATAGACGGTGTATGAGTCCCTTCCTTCTTTACAGTTAAGAAGTTCATCAGATGAAGTGATTGGACACGCTGCCCTGTGACTAATGCACAGAGCATTACCAACTTATGAGTAAGCTGTTGTAGAGTTAAGTCTTCTACTGCGGGATATGTCTTTAAATATTTTTAAACAATGGAGGTGTCCCAGTTCACTTGATATCTTGGTCGTGCTGGTCTAGAATGGAACACTCCCTTCATAAATCTCTGAACCATATTATGTGTACCAATCATAGAATTCCCTTCATAATAACGAATAAAGATAACATATTTCGAGCAGTGTCTATGCAACTGTAACTCATTTCTTGATCAAATAGGTGCTGTAGAAAGTCTAGAACTACCTGTAAAGTTGGATAAAAGGGATCTACGTTCCGTTTATTAACATAGAGTTTCCACTTGTTAAGGTACACCTGATATTGTTTTTGTGTTACTGGCCGCCAGGAATTAAGTATTGTTGCTTGAGCTTGTGGTTAAATGCCCTTACTTGAGAGTCATCTCCGGATAAGGGACAAGCTATCAGTCTCATTCTCCCTTTGAGTGGATGTTCGTTTGTTCGAGTGGATGGTTAGCACAAATTGCTTTTGTTTTGGGTAGGAGAATGGGTCGGTGAATTATTAATCTTGCTAGCATCGGATACCAGGATTTAGTTGGCCAATTCGGCACGATGAGAATTGTCCGTGCCTGGGCCATTTCTACTTTTGTAAAACTGTGATATAACACTGAAAGGTGGAAAAGCATAAAAAACAATTTACTCCAATCAATGCAAAGCGTCAATAGCCACGCCTGTGGATCTGGGTGCCTCGACACATAGGGTTTAAGTTGATAGTTTAGTCTAGAAGCAAGCATGTCAACTTGGGGTCCTAAAATATGTTGTTATTTCAAGAAATACTTCAGCATCAAGCTTCCATTCTTTGGAATCATCAAATGTTCTGGAAGCTTGTCAGCCACCAGATTGAGTTTCCCAGGAATATAGCTGACATTTAACCATATGTCCCTGATCCTGCCCCACGCCCATATCTCCTTGCAATTTTATCGCAATGGTGAGAGTGGCAGCCCCCATGTGGTTAATATATGCAAGCCGTGGTATTATCAGTCATTACTTTAATGGGTGTGGGTTAGATCTTTACAGAGATTATAGCCCAAACAGTATTGCTTTGAGTTACAGACAATTAATGTGCGAGTCTTTTTCGACGATTGACCATTCACCTCCGGTGGACTGTTTGTTAATACTTGCGCCCCATCCCTTGGTAGAGGCCTCCGTATACAATACGTGGTCAATCTTGCCATGATTCAGATGTTTTTTGGACTCATTTGCATTACTAATCCACCAAGATACGTCCTCCAGCGCCGAAGGGGAGAGTTTCAATGTCGCATCAAAGTTATCCCTGTTAGACTTAAGAGTTGTTGTTTTGTCCCTATCAAGATCACGATAAAACAGTGGGCCATATTCAACGCCAGGGAAACAAGCTACTATCATACCAATTAGCTTAGCCACTTCCCGTATGCTAGGGGAGTCAGATTTTAGCACCCCCCTGGAAACCTCGCATAATTTGTTGTATTTCTCTATGGATATAGAGATAGTCATATCTAATGAATTTAACATAAACCCTAAATGTTGTAAAATCTGTGTGGGCTCTGTAGCAGATTTATCTTTATGGGGTAGGAATCCTAACTTCGGAAACAATTGTAGAGTGTTATGTATGTATGTTTTTCTCGCATTCTGAATAGGAGTAGCCCATTAAAAACGAGTCATCAATGTAACCGCTAGAAATGTGCCCTAGCTCCCTCAGCTTAGAATAAACAGGCTTGAGTGTCTTTGTAAATAAACGTGGAGCGGAAGATAATCCTTGAGCAAGGCATGTGAATTGGTACAGATTACCTTTCCACATAAATTTTAAGTATTTTTGATGCTCTATGTGTATTGGTATTGAGTAATAGGCATCTCTAAGGTCAACGGATGCAATGTAGTACCCAGGTCGCGTGAGCTGAGTACACAAGTATGGATAGATTCCATTTTAAATTGGTGATATGTTACAAATGTTGAGTTCCTTAGGTAAATCCATTCTAAAGATCCATCTTTCTTCGCTCTAAGAAAGATATTGAGATAAACTCGCCCTGTTCATGCATGCTTGTAACAATGATACCTTCTCTAGAAATTTTGTAAATTGATGATCGACATTTTCGACTTCCGAAGGAGAAATTTTATAGAGTGGGGTTGTTTCAGCTGGATTGGGTCTAAAGAAAATCAATCTTGTACCGCTTACAGCTGATAAATTGAAGGGTCATGAGTTAGCTCCCTCCACTTCCCAATAAATTGTTGTATCCGGCCTGCAACTATAATACAATCATTGTCTCCCCAAAATATGATAGAAGTACTACACTCGCGTTTAATAGAACTTACCCGGTCGAGAGTAGGAGTCACTGCCTTCTTAGTGTTTTTCCGCATGTATCGACTTTCCTCTTGGGTTGGTTTTGATAATAGTGGCGTCGTTTAGTCGGCTTTGCAAATGACCGCCCGACGTTGGAATAAAAAGACACATTGGAATTATATGAGCTGGTCGACCGTTGATCGTTGCGTTTTCGTTTTTGGCTTGTCAGTTACTGTGCAGCCTTTTTGCTTTCTTTTACTGTTTTCAGGCGTTCCTTTAAATCATCACAAAACAGTTCTGCAGCAACAGGTTCTTTGTTACTACAGATTTCTTGTAATTTTCATCTAGGTCAACTTTGACAAGTCCGTGCGGCACATGTTCAGATCATAATTATCTGAAGCGAGAGCACAACAGTTGTGGACAGCCCATCCCTGATAACCTCTGGTGTCGGTGCAGATGTTGTAGGTTTTGTTGCAAGAGAGGTACTAATCGTTCCCACAATTCGGAAATCGGAATAAGGCCCTTTTTAAGGCTTCTTATAATTATTGTAGACGTGCATACATGGATTTCCTAGCAATGTTCCAAATTTCTGGGTTCACCTTTGTAACTCTTAACAGGTCACAGTTTCGCGTTTTTCGCCTTTTACACAGTTTCGGGGCGTTTGAGATTTTAGTTGGCAATGATTGGTCTGTCGGTTAATTCTTCATCACTTTTGTTTTGATAGAGCTGGGGCTGTATCTGCAACTAGAGCAGCAGCCCCGTTGGTAGTGTGTTCGTCATCTGTTTCACCTTCGGATATAACATCACCATCGTTCATTTGGCGTCGGGCATTATAAGCCTGCTTGAGCTTTTTGACGACAGAAACAAAAGTATTCATCAAGACAGCAAGTTGATCGACTTTCCTGTAAAGTTAATCCAAAGTGGTTCTCCCGTCATTTCCTTTCTCTAGAGATTGTATTTGTTGGCTTTAGCAGGTGTTTATACCCGCCCCGCCAGAATTGCTCATTTTCCTTGTAGACGAGACAGTTTCTGTTGCGGTTCATCGTCTACATTCACATCTCTAATAAGCCCGACAGCGTCGGATTAGGAGAGTTATGCAAGAGAGTCAAGTCGTCGGCTTGCTCAATTGCTTCGCTGACTTGTGCTATTTGTTGTTGAATACATTATCTAACCACAGAAAAAGAGTTTGCCGGGCAAACTTAGTTGTTATGTAGGTGTTTTGTCCTGTATTGTTTTTTAAGACTTTTTTCTCGTTCTACACAGCAGGATGGCAAGTTATTTCATAGATTATTCAAATATAACCAAACACACCATCTGTAATGTCGGTGAGCAAGGTAGAGAATGACCA